ATGGTCGAAAGGGGCATGTGCGAGACATAAAGCGCAAAACGGAGGAGGTCGGGATAATTGGTCGAATGCCAGTTGTAACACCCCGCTTATCAGAGTACATTTTTCGCAACTTTTTCTTCGATAGTGCTTATTAATTTTTCGAAATCTTTTTAACTTAGCTCGGGATGCTACTAAAAACTTATCTTCTTTAAAATTTATTTTCTCCAAAATTTAGTCTAACAAATAAATAGATTTTAATTATCGAACATGTATGAAAATTGAACTCGATAAATCTTGTCAATCTGAAAATACTTTCACACATGTTCAATATCTGAAAGACGTAGCGGAAATCTTACATGCATGGTATAATACAAATTAAAACCTTATTAAAAGTCCACAATATAACAAAATGAACCAAATCCTCAATCCACACCACCATAGCTGATCTCACACCTCCGCACCGACCCTGTTACCTGAAAATGATAATAGTGGGGCGTGAGTACTAATCCACTGTACTCTGTAAAAACCCATACTAAAGTAAACAGTAATAATAATATCAATATCATGATCGCAGGTATATATAAACTTAAACTTGATCTCCCGGACACTTGGACCGGTAACTTGAACTTAAACTTTTGGACACTTGTCCCTTAACCATGTGCACACTCTGATGGCATATTAAGGCTACTGCGCCTCCACCAGAACTCGGGATGGCATATTAAGGCTACTGCGCCTCCACCCAAAGCGAATAACTCATATACATACCTTTGATATGATAATTACTATTATACTCAATGTAATACCCAGGCTGGGTCTCCACCTTTTCTTCTTGGAAACTTTTGAAAATCGTAAGTGCTATACTGGTAGCTGTATCTGCAACTACATAAAAATATAGACAAATATACTAAGTACTATGCTCGGAGTATTCTCAATAGGATGCTGAGATTTTTAAATCTAATTGATAACTTATTCGAATCTTAAAGAGGTTCAATAGGCCTGTTATAGTTAGAATGAACATCTATGCATCGAACAACTTAACTTTACAAACTTTTACTCAAGGCCATCAAATTAACTCATATAAATCATGTCTTTAAAATCTAAGACATTGACTTATTCTCAAATTTTACTAAATTAACTTGTAAGTGAAAATAACTAAATTTCACATACATAAACTCAAACATATGCTTAACTTTTATCAACATCAATTACATGATTCATAACTACTAAACTTGTCCTAAACTTGCTTGGTAATGAAAATTATAACTAAATTCTCGTACATACAAATCATAACATCAAATCATGACATTAATATGCAAGACTTGAAACAATTTATATTAAAATTGTATTCTCAACGTATTACACTAAAACTTGGTCACTTTACTCATCATCAATAATATGAGAATTCCATATCAATTACTCTTAAAAACTTTAACATTAAATACATCTTATATGTCATCTAATTATAATAACACATTCATTTCTCAACTTAATATCATGAATTCAACTTGCATACTAACTTCAAAATCTTTATCTCAAGTTATAACATGCCAAATAACTCAATTCTTGTTCTTATGTACTCCTTATTTACATAAGAATTACTTATCCAAATCATACTTTATTGGATAATCTAATATCAATAAACACATATACTTAAACTCATTGAATTCATAAAATCAATTATAATCTCAACTTCAAATTCATTAACATG